GCCACAGCCATTTGAGGAACGGAGAGGGAATTCACCACCCAGATTTGCCAACCAGAGAGGTCCAGCACCGCTTCAGTTTGGAGGACCAAGAGGAGCCACACCTGGCATGTATCCAGAAGAAAATGAACCTCCCTCTTCTAGATTTCATTTCCAAGGTCAGTCACCACAAGGCATGAAGCCACCCCCAAGACCACTCCTGGACCTGCCAAGCCATCCACCATCCCACAGAAAAGAGATGTGGGAGGAAGCTGGACCGTCTGCATCTCTTTCCAATATTTCTGGACAGGGATCTGAGTCAGAAGGACAGTGGGCAGCACCTGACTTCCGAGAAGGCAAAAATTCCGAATTTAGAGGCCAGACATTTGAAGGGAGACAGAGAGAGAGATATGAGGGAGGAAATAAAGACAAGGGTTTAGATCAGCCGGAGCTTCAGCAAGGAGATAATCGACAAGGGAGAGCCTTTGAGGAAAGACGAAGGGATCGAGAACACAGCAGACCTTGGGACAGAGACCGTGGCAGAAACTGGAACAGAGACAGGGACTGGGAGAGACACAGAGACAAGGATTGGGATAAAAACAGAGACAGAAACCAAAACAAAGACAGAGAGAAGGATTCAGAGCGGGGCAAAGAATGGGAAAGAAACAGAGACCGAGACAGAGCACGAACCAGAGACAGAGACTCCTACAGAAGACGTGACAGAGAGCGGTCGAGAAGCAGAGACAGAGATCGCGACCGAGAGAGGGACAGGGACCGGGATCGAAGCAGGGAAAAAGACAGAGATCGAGAGAGAGATCGAGATCGTGACAGAGATAGAGGGAAAGACCGCAAAGATCGGAGTAAGAGCAGGGAAACCAGTAAAGAGACGAAGCCCGAAACATCGAAGGAAACTCAGAAGCCACCGGAAACAGAAGCTTCATCTTCCACTAATCAGTCATAGAAATATGATTGATGTGATATTTCCCATAACTAATTTACTTTTACAACACAGCAAGGACTGAGGCAGCATCCTGTGTACATACTGTATATTCTCACCTTTACAAAAATGCTGTTGTAAAGCTCGCCTTACAAAATGTACTGACAAATTAGCAATTTTTGATCAACTGTGAATGAAAATACTCAAATAGATAAAAGGCAAGAACATACTGGACTTTCACTTGCTGCATTTTGTGCATAATGTTTTTCTTATACAAATTCACAGCGTTACCTGTACTGAAATTTTGGTTTTTTTCTACTTGCATCTTTATCTTAAAATTTCCATTTACAGTACACAAATGGAAAAAGTCTAAGAAGAGCATATTGCTTTTTAAGATTATAAAGTTATGTTTTCCAGTAACTTGAATTGTAATTTTATAAGAGAATTTAATCCAGACCTTAGGAGCCATACCTTTACATCTCATTTACGTGATATTTTGGTGTCAACGTTGTTCCTACAGCGCACGCTTTAAAAAAAAAAGGGTGTCCCACTGTTGCTGTCGAGTTTATTTCACAACAGAAGGGTCGTGTGTATTTAGGAAAAGGCTGCAGAACAGTGTTAGTAATTACTTGTGACTGACGGAGGATTTGAAACCGGAATGTTATAAGCTTAAAGTGCACTATCTTCCTTTTTTTATACAGATATTTTGTGTTTTGGAATCCATCTATTAAGTGTACAGCAAAGAAACAAATCGGACTTAGGTGTTGTTTTTTTTTCCTGCTGTTGAGGGGTTTTAAATGTCGCATTTTTACAAATCTGTAATTGAAGAACATACAAGAATAGCACCTTTATAACCAGCAAAACTTATAAAAACATCAGACATTTATTTGAAAAAGGCTAAACAAATTGGTGTACCAAAGGGAAGGAGAATAAGTTACTTAAATAGGCCACTAAATCTGTGACTTTGATTGAACTGATTTAGTGGAGCCATTTTTTTCATTTCATTTTGGTTTTGCAGCATTTTGCCATAGACTTAAGACTCCATTTTATTGTATTTTTCATTCTAAAAATGTTTTCCTCCTGGGGAAAAAAAAAAAAAAAAAAAAAAAAAAAAAAGCCACTGTTTTGTTGTTAGATCCCCCCTCCCCTTAGGCTGGTAGTGTATATAAAACTCCACTGAAAAAGGTATAACTGCATTAAGCTTGAGAAGAAGAGCGGTGCTATTTCGTGTTGGTTTTTCACTGTGACCTGCATTACATCGCTACTTCCCCATGTGTTCCTCGAGTCCGTAATTCTAAAGTATGAAATAAAAAACCCCCCTAATTTATTTGACCGTGTAGGTGAACAGTTGGGTAAATATTTTGATATTTTTATAAAAGAGTTTTGGAAATGTTAAAATCAGATCCCTCTAAACGTTTGCATCTCGAAGTAGCGTGTGTGCCGTGTGTCTCACAGCTTTCACCACACGTCGGTGCATCTTCAGCGTCCTCCATCAAGGATTTGTGGGTTGAAATCATCGGGGGTGTTCGGAACCTGGAGACAAAAACGTGGAAAGGCAGAGAGGTGGTTATTAAATGCAAACATCTACTATGGTGTAAGATTTTCTTTTTTTTTTTTTTTTTTTTCTTAATGAGATGTTTCTAATTTAAAGACATACATAAAAGTATGCAAAAAGTAAGTGTGTTTGTTTAGGTTTACTTGATAGAAATTTCTGTAAATTGTATTTTATATGGCAAAATATATCACTGTACATTAAAATATGGGACTTCACAGGTTTTTGTTACTGTAAGTAGAATAAACATCTACAGAGAGCTGTTGTCGATTTCTTAAATCTGTATCTGTATGTTATTTTATAAATATTGCTATTTCCTGAAAAGCCCCAGAGGAGCCACCCCGAGAGCCCAATGGTGCAGGTTTCACTTCCCCAGGGGTTAACGAAATAAGATGTTTTGCAGGACATCGCTGCCTAGTGATGCTTAATTGTAGGCATTCTAAAAATCACATGAAAATCCCTGAGTGTGATTTTTCTCTCAGTTCTAAAAGATTGTCTCAGACGTCTTAGCAGCCTTCCACTGTCTGAAGGGAGCTCCAGGAGAGCTGGGGAGGGACTCTCTGTCAGGAAGTGCAGTGACAGGACAAGGGGTTATGGTTTTAAATTGGAAAAGGGGAGATTTAGATTAGATACTAGAAAGAACTTCTTTGGTGTGAGGGTGGTGAGAGCCTGGCCCAGGTTGCCCAGAGAAGCTGTGGCTGCCCCATCCCTGGAGGGGTTCAAGGGCAGGTTGGATGGGGCTTGGAGCAACCTGGTCTGGTGGGAGGTGTCCCTGCCCTGGGCAGGGGGTGGAACTTGATGATCTTTGAGATCCCTTCCAACTCTGACCACTCTATGATTATTCGGGGGAGATGGCGGGGAGGGCCGGAGGTGGCGACTTTCAGAAGCCTCCCCTCTCAGCATTCCCCTGCGCTGGACCTTTCCTCACGGACCGGGCTCCC